TCTCACTCAGCAGCAGTCCACACAGAAGACTTCTGTGACCAAATGTGGGGGGTTTTCCCCCCCAGCTATCAACTCAGTTATGACACTGTCTACCTGGAGACAGCATCAGATCCCACGGATTAGGGGCTCAGTCCCCAAGACTGTCCCTGTCTTCAGATGCCTGTCCCAAGTCTGGGCCTCTGGAGCTTCTGACGAACAGGCTATAAATTGGGGTTCCCACAACCTTCTCCTTGGGTTCGATTAATTTGCTAGTGAGGCTCACAGAACTCAGGGCCACACCTGCTTACGCTCACCTGCTTATTGTAAAGGGTATTACAAATGGTGCAGGTGAAGAGATGCGTAGGGCGAGGTATGGGGGAAGGCATGCGGGGCCTCCAGGCTCTCCACGTGTTCAGTCATATGGAAGCTCCTCGAACCCTGTGCTCCTGGTTTTATGGAGGCTTCCTTACATAGGCGTGATTGACTAAGTCATTGGCCGTTGGTGGTCAACTTACCCAACCCTCTAATCCTGCCTGGGTCATTCCTGTGACCACCCCATCCGGAAGCTGCCTAGGGGTGGCCAGCTGTCAGTCAACCCACTGGCATACAGACAAGTGCTCTTGTCACTTTGGAGAGCCTACGGGTTTTAAGATTCGTATGCCAGGAGACAGAGAGGCTGAATGTGTGTCTCATAATACCACAGTTGCTGTCTCCCTGCCTTTCTTTACTTGGGTGTCTCTCGATACTGGGTCTTCGTCCTGAGTGTTGAGGATTGCGGCACCTGTCCTCCAGGTGACGGGCATGCTGGGCCAGCCGGGAGCAGGCTCACTGATACGACTTAATGCTTGTGTAATGCCTGTTCATGCAAGACTTTGTTCTCAGGGAGACTCACCTCATTCCACACTGGGGCAATCCTGTCACGTGCTGTAACATCTCCACTCCACAGGTAAAGACACTGAGGTGCAGAGAGACTCAGCCACACACGTAAATCAAGCTCCTAAATTGTGACCCGCAAGCAATAGTTCCATTGTTCTGTGATGATGTAAAAGTAGCATTTTCCCATCACGCTAGGAATTAATAACATGGAAAACTGTGGCTACTTTGTTGAACTCTGTTGCTGAGACCCTGCTGCAGCCCTGGTCTGGCGTGGCCCTCACACAGGTGCTGCCTGCCACAGCCTTTCCTGGGGGAGGGGCTTGCCCTCCTCCCTAGTGCCCAGACTCCTGCCTCCTTTCCCATGAAGATTTTCATCCCTTGGCTTGGGTATTCTCAGGAGCCACTGGGAGAAAATCCATTTGTCTAGACTATTTCATGCTAAGGTGTGAATAGCTAATACAGTAGAAATATTTTCAGGATGGAATTGTTAACTTAAATTGTGGTTCCTTAACTTCAGCACTATGGACATCTGGGCCGGATAATCCTCTGCCGGGGGCTGGGGGTGTCCTGTGCACTGTAGGGTGCTGGCAGCATCCCTACCCTCTACCCACTGGATGCCGGCAGCTCCTGCCCCCAGTCATGACCACCAAAAATGTCTCCAGACATTACCAGATGTCCCCTGGAGGGCACAGCTCCCCTGGGTAAGATGGGTCTCACTCTGCAGATGGGACACTAGCAAGTGTGACTAGGCCAAGGGCTGGTCTTCAGGGTGGGCCAGGTGTCAGAGCTGTGGGGTGCACATTTCATTCTCTTCAAGTGTGATGCATGGGAGGGTCTGGAAGAAACCAGGGGAGGGTGTCTAAGCCAGGAACTGGGATCACTGTGGGCACTGACTGCCTTGCCCTCTTGGAGCTGGACACTGTTCGAATGTTTTTCTGTTTTCCAGGCTTGACTCCATTTGACCCCAGCCCCCCATGAGGTGGGAGCTGTGGTTCTCATCAGCTGAGGAATGTGGGGCCGTGTCTTAGTCAGTTGGGCGGCTCTAACAACCACTGAGACTGGCTGACTTAACATTCATTCATTTCTCTCAGATCTGGAGGCCAGAAGCCCAAAGTCAAGGTGTGGTAGATGCTTCCTGGTTCCTCACGTGGCAGATGGCAGAGGGCAGGAGCCACGCTCCCCCGTTTCTTCCCATGAGGGCAGTGATCCCATCTGAGGGCTCCAACCCATGATCTAGTCACCTCCCAAAGGCCCCACCTCTCGACACCATCACATGGGGCTTGAGATTCTCAACATGCGGATTTTGGGGGGGGACACAAGCATTCAGTCCACAGCAGGCTTTGAGGGGTTACCTGGCCTGCTCAGCGGAGCCTGTGGTGTCCACCTTGGGGCTGCCCTCTGCAGCAGCACCACCTGCCTTCAGCCAAGGCAGGAGGATGCATTTGCTGGATGTGGGGGGCTGGGGCCCTAAGTGTTTGCTGGTGGGGTGGCTCATCAGGGACCACCGCAGTGGAGCCCTTGGTACTTGCTGAGGGCTCCAGCTCTGTCTGGGCTGCTGTGTCCCTGGTTTGCTGGCTGGAGAATACAGTCTTTTTGAACCATCGCCCTGGTATAGTATTTGGTGACCTTGTCCTCAGAGAGGGGTGGGTGGGGGCGGGGACTCTGACAGACCCTGGGCCCCGCCCCGGGGTGGATGGCTCTGTCCACAGCCTACTGGACATCTGGCCAGGCAAGGCACTCAAGCGAGCCTGGGCTGGCAGCGGGAGGGCGCCAAAGCACAGATGCTGACAGCCTGTGCGTGGGCGGGGCAGCTGACCGCTTCGCTGGCGGGCAGCCTGTCTCCATGGCACTGAACTCCAGCTGCCACGTCCTCCGGGGGTCTGCCCTGGCAGCCCCAAGCCTCATGAGCTCTCCAAGCAGCATCCAGCCCTGGACCAAGTGGCTGTTCATTCATTTGACAGACTTGACGACCACCTTCTGAGGGCTGGGCTGGGGGCTTGTCTCCATGACCCTCACTGAGCTCGCTGAGTAGTGGGCTGTCAGCATCAGGTGAGCAGAAAAGGGACACACAGTTTCAGATTGTTCAGAGGAGCCAGAACCGAGAGAAAGGGTAGCGGGGGCCGCTTCAGGAAAGACCACAGGCTGAGCCCTGAGAAGACGCAGCATCCACCCGCTACCAGTAGAGGGGATGGCGTTCCTGGGCAATGGGGACAGTACCTGCAAAGGCCTGCCTGAGGGACAGTGAGGTGGTCATGTGCTCATGGCAGCGAGCATGGGGCAGAGAGGTTGGGGTGGTCTGAGAGCCAGGGGCAGGGCCAGATCTTGCGGACAACCAGGCTGTGGTGAGCTCAGACATAGAGGTCTGCGGCGGGGCTCGGGTCACACCCTGCCTGAGCCAAGGGGCCTCTGTGTTCCTCATGTTTTATCTGCCACAGAACTGAGGTGTGGGTGTGTGGAACGCTGCACAAAACCCATGGACCAGCAATGACCAAACGCAAATTCTGGGGATGTGGGGCCCTCACGGCAGAACACCTCAGGGTCCCAGAGCTACAGATTGATCCCACCTCACTCTGCAGCCCATCCCTGGAGAGTCCGGGTGGCCATGGACTCCTGCAGTTGGGGTATTAGTGGTGGCTGAGAAATACAAGTCAGTCCTTCATGCAATTAGCTGATTTGCCAGGGGCCAGGGAAGCTGTTGAGAGCTCTGGTCCTTTAAAAAAAACTGTAAATTAAATTTATACTGACTCTAGTGTACGACGTTTAAAAAAATCAATGCTTTCATACCTTAAATCTTTTCCCCACCTCCTTGCTCCCCACAAGCTGGATAAACACAGCCCTTCCTCCTCCTAATAACGGAAAATTCCTTGGGGGGTGGGGGTGGCTGGGCCTTTCTGTCTGTGTAGGCTCTTCCTGTTGTCCAAATTATAGGATTAAAATGAGAACAGCGCTGACCCAGGTTAAGTGATTGAGAACCTGTCTCTTCTCATTTCCCCAAATTAAGTCTGGTTTCTCGGCTGATGGAGCTTTCCCCTGTGGGTTGTCTGTTTCTCTGGAGGTGCCACAATCGGGAAGGAGCTCCCTTCTCTTTCCCCAGGAGGACACAGGGTGGTGAGCTAGGAAGCGTGGACTTTCACTGCCCACGAGTGCGACTGGCTGCAGAGGTTGCTGGCCCATGGAACTCAGGCGTGCCTGGACGCCTGGACATAAATACCAGGGATGTGATGAATGGCATCGAAGAGCATGGACCTCGGGCTGTACTGTGGGGGCCTTAGCAAGCCGGTGCCCAAGCTGCTTCCACCTGTACCATGTAAAGGGTCCCGTACAAATACATGGTGGCGCCCTCCATGGCCCATGGCCAAGGGTGCCTGTGCTGGGCCTCAGCTCTCTCCCCTCCGCCTGGTTTCTTCATGTCTGGTTGGCATCGAAGAGCATGGACCTCGGGCTGTACTGTGGGGGCCCTAGCAAGCCGGTGCCCAAGCTGCTTCCACCTGTACCATGTAAAGGGTCCCGTACAAATACATGGTGGCGCCCTCCATGGCCCACAGCCAAGGGTGCCTGTGCTGGGCCTCAGCTCTCTCCCCTCCGCCTGGTTTCTTCATGTCTGGTCCTGCTATTCTGGTGTGAAGTCTGTGAGACCAGAGTCGTGACCCATGAGGGCTATGTGTTGGGGGAGCACAGACTGTCGGTTTCCTGGAAGTTCTGAGCCTGTTCCCAGACCTGCACCATTACAGGGAGGGTCACTCTGCGGATTCTCCAAAGAGGGAATAATCCAGATGTGCTTTGGTTCAGCTCCACCATGAGCAGCCATAGTGGCCACTGACTGTGGAACCATCTTGCCAGGCTCTGGAGGAAAGGACAGTGGGAAGGTGGGCACAGTGGAGGTGGTCCCAGCTGATCATGGTGTTTTCTGATGGGGAAGGAATGCACAGGAAGGCTTTGGGGCAGGGGGGGACTCCTGAGAACTCTAGGCTGCCTGCTTTGCTATGGCACTCGCCAGCGCCAGTTTCGTGAGTTCAGTAGCCCATGGTTTCTGGCCACTTAGTGCAGCCCAGTGATGTGGGGGATTGGAGGAGGCCACAGGTTACCTGACCCAAGGAGAGAGTGAGAGAAGTGGGCTGGGCCTGGAAGCTTGCTGGGTAAAGAGGATGGTGCTGGAGGTGCTGAAAGGACAGCGCCTGGCGCGGATGCCTGCCGCAGCCCCAGATGCCCAGGCCAGAGCTGCATCCCCAGCAGTAGCTGGGAGTCCTGTGCTGATAAATTTTTCTTCTTCTTTGGAATCCTGTTGGTGCAGTCTTGGCAAAGATGGCTCAAGCCTGAAAGCTTTTCCCATCTATTTTTAAATAAATGGAATTCCTGTTCCTTGCACGAAATTTACCTTAACTGGGTATTTTTGTGACCCGCTTTGCCTGGGTTGCGGGGGTGGGGTGGTGGTGGTTGTTGGGGGAGCATGCTGGTAACAAGATTGCTGACAATGCACAGCCAATGGGTGTACAAGACACAAAATTAAAAACATTAATGATTAATGAGCCACTCGTTGAAAGGACATCTTAAACAGAGGAAGCAAAGATTTTCAAACCTTGATGCAGAATTCACTTTCCAGAACCTTCCCAGATGTGGCAAAGTTGCTGGGGCAGACGCTGCCTGTGCACAGAGAATGGAGGGCTGTGGGATGGGAGACCTGCCTGCTGTTTCCCCTCCCAGCCTGGCTGTGGTGTTCCTGCTGGAGGGTCTGCACACTTAGCTGCCGCCCAGGAGATTGTGAAGGCAGTTGATGGCTCCCCAAGACCTCAGGGATGTGCCCCCTTTTCTCTAGAAAATGTCCCTCTCCAACGTCGTGGAACACCAGAGAGGCTTGGACCTCAGTCCCATCTCAGGGCTCGTGCACCTGCTGAAGTGGTACCTGAAAGCCACTTTTCCTTCATGCTCTGTGAACCAACCCTAACCACAGGTCCCACTCCACTCTGACATCAAACCTGAGCAGTTGCTCCTCCAGGAGGGATTGCCCAGGTGGCACTCCGTAGTCTGGGGCTTCCCTTAACAGGATGAGGTGGCTGCCCTCCTGGAGTTTGCACGTTTGAGTTGTGGTTGCTTTGTCCAGTCTTCTGCAGGGTGAGAGTGAGGGCAAAGGAGAGGTACCCAGAGGTGGACGGGCAGAGTCAGCCAGCTCGTGCAGAGAGCTGTGGGTAGTGCCTCCTTCCTTCACCTAGGCCTGGGCTAGCTCAGTAGCTGTTTGGGGACAGGCCCACTCAGTGCTGGTAATCATAACTAATGCATGGGCAGGGGGCAGAGGGCAGAGCGGTGGAGGGTGAGGAGTGTGCCCTGGGACATCCTGCGTGTGCGTGGCATGTGAACATGCTTGTGTCAGCTGCAGTCGATCCTAACCTTCTAGATAATTTAAAAGTTAGCACTACATTAGTGTCAACCCTTATATTTTAGCCTAATTAAAAACAAACAAAAACAACCCCCCCCCAAACAACAACAACAAAAAAACCCAGGCCCCACAGCCACTAGCTCTGGAGATTGAAAGGCTGACCCGGTGCCAGGGTCAGAGCTGTTCTATGAACGAGTGTCCTGCAAGGACCGCACCGGCCAGTCGACAGAGGGCCTTTCTCGGTGGGCCTTTCTCTGGCCTCCCAATGGCAGGTGCCAGACGGACCCCTCCCAGGACACTCTTCGCTTCCCGGCAGAGAGGCCACCTCTGCCCACTCTGCTTCCCGCAGGGGACACCCTCCCACCTGTGTCCAGGGACTGCTCTCCTTTGTCCCGATTTGCGGCATGAGTGTGGGGCTGGTCGGGCAGTTCTGCTTGCTCGGTCGTGCCCACCTCAAAGGTGACAGCGGGCCGGATTCCTTGTCAATGAGCACAGGCACCGGAGCGGGGAGGGGCGGCCCCGGGAGCCCCAGGAGGGGCCCACTCGGCG